GGGATGAAAAAAAAAATGAAAAAAGTGAGAGACCGACCGTAATATATGTGACATTTCCCCATAGTATCGATGGGAATGGCAGACAATGGTGTTTTAAGCCCACGTCCATCAGCACGGTGTGGCTTCGACACGTCTCAGAATAGGCAGAGTTTTACCTCATCCCTCTGGCTTCGAAGTAACGCGAGAACGAGATGTAGCGATGAGGCCAGAAAGGCCCGAGAAGAGGCCAGGAAAGCCCAGGATGAGGTCGAGAATCGGGCCGGCAACACCTCACCGCCACGAAACCGTAAAAACCGGCCGTACACCAAGAAAAAGTGGACGGTCGCGATCTCATGAGGGTCATCTCCTCTCGTGGATCCAGGCTGGTGGGGTGAGGTGGGTGCGTTGCGTTCCTTCGTTCCTCCTCTTTGGAGAGCCTGAAGAAAGGCTTGCCTGTAGGACTGGCCGATGCAGTCTGTTCAAAGGTCTCATGTTTTCGAAGAGGAGCGAAATCGTCTGAGTCATTTCGGAATCCCCATTTTGGGGTTTTTCCCATCGGTCGAGATCCGATCCGGAGATTCCCTCTTCGCTTTCCGCCGATCCTTGCGATCGGCAATCCTCTGCTGGTACGGGACCGCCGACGGGTGGATCTCGAAGCCGAAGATCCTGGGGACGTGCTCTTCTTGCGGAAGTTCGGGTCTGTACCGGGGATAGACCATGAAGAACAGATGAGGCAGGGACGGAGGGAAGAAAGTTCCGTCCACCGCCCGATGCCGTGCATGCGATGGACGGTACACGTCCATGCATCGAGGGCAGTAGAGGTGGAGGGCGGAGGGGGTGTCGTGGAGGGCGGAGGGGGTGTCGGTCGAGCCGGTTGGGAGGAGGGGCTGGTGGGGGCAGAACACTCGGCGGCATTCGCCGTAGGTGCGGTTCTTCCATTTTTGGTAGATGAGATAGAGGCCTCTTTCCGAGAGCGTGAAGCGACGATGCACGAGGCCGTAGAGTTTCTCGGCCGAGGCTGAGAGACTCTGAAACCCGAAGACCGGAAGGGGAGAAAGAAACCGGAGAGGTTCGCTCTCGTCGCTTTTCCTCACCTGGTGTCGGCCAGCCGGTGGGGCGTCGGCTTCTTCCCCGTGATGACGCCCAACGCTTCCCCGAAGCGAGGGACCGAGTCGGCCAAGTCGACCAGGTTGAACGGATCCTGGATGAAAGCCAGGTCGACGACGAGGAACACTTCGTTTCCGGGTCTCCCGCAGAACCAAGCCAGCCAACTGTCGTCTGGTGGCGATTCGGTGTCGGCTGGAGGCTCTCGACGGTGGCTGAGTGAGGAGCCACACGAGGAGACGCGCGAGGAGACAACTGTCCTGCTTCTCGTCTTTTTCGACGCTGCAGATCGCCGAGTCTCTGCGGATTTCCCGGTCGCTCTGCGAGTCATCTTCGATGGCACGAGAAGCTCTGGGATGGACACTCGGGAATCCTCATCCGTCTTTTCCGTCGGTCGTGGAGGAATGTGGGGTGGGAGGTCGATCCAACGCTTTTCTAAAACAGATTATTTGCACTTGAGTGAAGACATGCAGCAACGTCTCGCTAGATGAGCTCAACGAACAGATGGAGTCTTTGAAACGTCTTTTCAGGATGGGGCAGAGTTTGTCTAGAAATAGATGCAGGAGTGCTTCGAGGTTTGGTGGATGGCTGGGGAGGAGGAGAAGCGGAGGTATGGCGTTTCTCAAGCTTTGGGGGTGTTCGAGGATGGGATGGGCTGGGTGCTCCTGGGTGAGGTGGTCTTTGCGTTCTGGCTCTTTCGGCTGGATCGGGACGTCTGGGTTGGTGCGGGGAATGGGGAAGGGTTGGATGGTTTCCGGTTAAGTGGAGGGTTTCGGGCTGTCGTGGTTGCGGTTGTAGGATTTTCTGACGTGGAACTGGATGTTTAGTCGGTCGTGGCGTTGATGGCTGCTGAGGGAATGAAAGTTGTTCTTTTGGTTGCTCGGATCCTCGTGATCTCGATGCGAAGGGGATGTGAGGTCTCACGCGGTGGGAAAATCCATGTGACCCTTGCTCTTGAGATGACGGTGGAGGAGCGAGTCGGGGAGCTGGCGGCTTCAAACGCACAGAGGGCATGGGGAATCTGTGAAGGTTTGGGTGCCTCGTTCTTTGGGGCGCTTGGGGTCTTTGTTGCTCGCTTGGGGGCGGCGGGGGTGTCGGGGAGGGATGTCTCTGGAGGGTGGAGGGGATGCTTCCTTTCCCTCCCTTCTGGGTGGATGAGGGTGGTGGTTGGCCAGGTGGTTTTCCGCTTTTTTGCTTCGGAGGTTCATTCCTCTTCTGGTCTTTACCTTTAGCTTCGCGTTGGCTCATTTTCGTCCAGATGAACCTAAAGGTACGAGAAAACGGAAAGTAGAGAAAAGGAAAAGGCAGAGATGGTTGCATCCAGGGAAACACATCAACAATCCGCTTCTCACGCTCTGCAACAAGCGAAAATCTCCCAGAGAAACTCCCTCATTTGAAATCACACCTGTCGAACACAACCCCCAAAGAACAAAATTCCTGAGGCAACCCTCCCCCCCCCCCCCCCCCCCCCCCCCCCCCCACACCCCC